TTTATATACATCGTTGAGACAGTGAAACTGCTCTCCCCTTTACGTCTCCCTCCCCTTCCTTCCCTTTCCATTTTATGGATGTAGCAGCTTTTCTCCTTTCAATGGCAAATACTCCTATTTGTGTCCTGGATCCCAATCCCTGTTCTCTCATCAGGAACCTTGAATCTCTCCCAAGTTTTTCACCTAATTTCTGAAAACTGCTTGTAAATCATCTTTGATTCTTCACTTTCTCTTTTCCATACCCTCCCAATTAAATTTAATTAGTCGGTATTTGTAGTTCTGTTTTCAGAAAGTCAAATCAGTCCATGTCAGGCCATCTCCACTCTTTGCCCTTACCTGTCACTTCCTCACTGGCCTTCATGCCACCATTCTTGTTCTTCATAATCCATTCTTTGGAGTTGCTGATGAATTTTTGAAAATGTACACTACAATATGCTACTCCTCTGTTCATCTTGTTATAGTATCATTCTGTCATTTCTTAATGGTATGTTTATTTGATGGGTATAATTTTGTTTCTAAACACTTATTTTTTCAGAACAGTTTTAAGTTCACATCAAAATTAAGGGGAAGGTAAAGAGATTATCCGCTCTGCCCCCACACATGCACACCTTCCCCCATTATCGACACCCCCTACCAGAGTGCTATATTTATTACAACTGCTGAACCTACATTGACATCCATTATATTTGGGGTGAAATTCACATGACCTACCATGGCCAAAGAGGCCTGAAATAATTTGATTCCTAACTGCTTCTCCAACCTTTGTTTCCACTTGCCCTTGGCTTATTGTACTGCAGGTACACAGACAGCTCCTGTCTATTCCTAGAATGGCCAAACTGTTTTCTATTGTGGAACAACTCTGCTGGCACCCTGAAGACCTTGTGTTTATCCATTTAGGCCAGGCTAGGTTCAGGCTAACCTGAGCCATGATGGCCCATGATCTTCCTGGAACACAAGGATTTGGGGCATGTGAGGAACTATCATGGGCCACTTCATGTATGCCTCCCTGTCTCCCAGAGAAGACGTGAGACAGTTGTCCTTGCCTCCAGATTTTGATGAAGTATGAGACTTTCCATTTTGAGTCCCTTTAGGGCATAGCTGCAGGCCACAAAGTTGCTTAGCTACAACATGGAATTAGTATCTCAGCAACAAGGTGCCCCACCCCTTCTGTTGCATTATAGTGTCCTCTTTCATGTCTCATGCCCCCTCTTTTTGTGTCTTTTCTTGGGACAGGACTCATGGGGCTACTGGTGGTTTGTCTTCTGCTATCACTGTAAATAATAAACTTTGTGACCCTAACAAGGGCTTGCTGTTTCTACGGTAGCTGAATCTTGCTTGACAACCACTCGGGACTTTGGTTGTTGTTCCCATTGCCTGCATTGCCCTTTCCCCGAGTTCCAAGTATTTCTTCCCATTCTCTTGCTTCCTTTGGTATCTCTATCACATCTCCCAGTTTTAGGATCATTAGCTGAACACACAGTGACAATGACTTATGATCCAGGAATATTTGCTGTAATTCAGGAGGTGTGATAAAACTGTAAGTTTGGATATCCAATGAGGCAGAATGAGCACATACAATTAGTCTACCAGAATGACCTGGAGGTGGCCTTGGGCTAGGCAGTGGGTTTACCCTGAATTCAGGTTTAGACGTTGGAGCTTTGGAGACAGACATTTTCTTCTCTTACCAGCAAACATCATAGATTAGAAATTGATTGCACAGTCTTTCTCCTATTAGTATGTATGAAATTATCTAAATTTACTATTTTATTATGTCTGAGTAGACAAATGCTGTTAAATTCTTTGGTATATCCAAGCCTTATTTATGAGACAGTCCTTTCTTTACATGATGATTTTTCCTCTAGGGTTTTGCTGTTTTGTTTTTTTGTTTGTTTTTTTAACAGGTTTTGAAAATCTGTTTAGATTATTTCTATTGGTTTTCCCTTGTTAATGCACCTCTTTATTCCCTTCTGTAATGTCAGGGTGAATCTGCCTGTGTTGGCTTTAAAGTAACTATGAATCTGTTCAGAAGCTGCTTAAACATCCAGACTGTTATAAAATCTTAAGAACTCAAGATTTTTTGAATGTCGCAGATACAAACCTGCAGAAATCCTGGTAAATTAGGCAAAGAGTACAGAAACCACAACAAAAATTTAGGTCACTTGTTTAATATACAAAGTCTTTCTTTCACAGATAATTATTTTCTTTTCCTTAATTCATCTCAGTACACATTCACAAAACAGTAAGTTGTTAATGCAAGAGAATTAGGTAAAACCAAAAAAGTACAAATGCTCAATCTCAAAAATTGCACACAGTTAAAATAATTTTTCCTCGTTTGTTTTAAATGTGATATCCAATTTCAAAATGGGCTTCAGATTTGGAGGAAACATTGCAGCCCAAAATAACAGCACTTCCTTTCAGCTGTATTGATATGTAAAATAGCACCTTTGGGCTGACTTAAGAAAAAAAAGGTTTTTATCTTTCTTAATTAAAGTGTAAGTCTTTCACAATTATTATATAACAACTACAATAATGAATAATAAGTTTAAAGAGCTCTACTTTGTTCCGAAATATTCATTGGCAAGGTAAGGAAAGGTAAACTGTCAGTCAAATGGAATAATCTTCCCCACCACACCCCCTTGGCAATTACAGTCTCTTAATGATGTCATTGCTCTAATGAGCTAATTTTCCAGCCAAACAATAGATGTTTTAGGGGTACCCAGGGACCTTTTGCAAAACAAAATAAACGAGGCTATCTCTGGGGCAATAATCATATGTAATAGCAGCTCAGAGTGAGATTCAAGCCGGGGATATTTTAAAACACTTCTTCAATATACACCTATCTTCAGTGTCTCCACTGCTATATCCCAGGTTGATGGGATCATTTTTGGATTTTTTTCATTTTTGTTTTACTTGTGTTTGTTCTCAAGCTTAATTGCCTTTTGGACTTCACTCTTTAAAAAAATAACTGGAATTTCATTCCTTTACAATTCAATCTTTGATACAATGAAAGTGAGAGTTCTTTTAAAAATTAACAGCGTAAATGTCTGTAGTTTATGGTATTGATACTACCAAATGCATGATTATAAAAAGCCAAGATTTTTAACAGAATTGTGTTGCCATTCTTCAATTTCAGTCCTTTGTTTCAATTCCATTTTTTTACATGAGCAGGAAAACATGCTTCAAAAAAACTGTCAGCCTGGAGAGTAGTTTTTGAAGGGTATATCCAGTCCACAACAGTATTGTCACAAAGCCAAATCCTTTCACTGAAAGGGCAGTTGCCACACAAAATATGAAAGGAAATCAACACTAGGTTTTAAATGCATGTAATTATTTCAGATTGAACTATAAACAGCCATTATAGGAAAACTTTGTAAAAGATTTAAATTCGGGAGTTCAGGGTTTATATATGAAGTTCAGAAGAGTAATAGCAGAATAAAAAGCTGACTGTTCACCCTCTAGGGAGCTATATGTATTATTATATTCTCATTACAAGAAAGTCAAGGCTTTTGTAAGTTAATTTTGAGAATTTAGGTATGATCTTAAAACACTATGTCGTATTTTCTTGTTAAGACAGTAATGCTGATCTTTTCATTCTAGAAATATTTTCTTAGTGTTAGGTGTGACCCTTAATAAACAAGGCCTATTAGCCAGTCCTCTCCCATTGAGAAATGAGCTATGCATTTACCAATCTTTAGATTTGTACAGAATTTAAATAGTATTTTTGGTGATAAAGTAAATAATCATTTTCCTTCCAGAGCAGACAAAAGAGATAACATTTCATTGCTTGCTGGTGACAGATTCCCTCCCACTTCCTCCCCCACCCCCCCAGGGGATATATGTAAACAACTTGTTCCCATTGCTAAGCTCCTGGAGAAATGGATTAGTAAAAAGCTTAGGGCAATTAACAGAAAAATTGAATCAAGGTTAATCTATTGGGTGATATGCCATGGTTAAATCACCCAAAGCTTCTATTCATGAGTATTTATCTTAAAACTTTAACATAGAAATTTAAGAGGAAGTTAATACAAATTTTAGTCTGTTTAAAGTTCATTAATTTTTTATTACACCACTTTTGCCCTTATTTGTGCAGAAATTTTGGTACACTTTCGTTAACTTCAACTGGGTCTTCCCTGTGCCTTTATTCCATACCCTCCGTAACAAGTTTTAAGAAAGATGTTTTAAACCTTTTGTTTCCTGACTGACCAAAAACCTTACCACTTTTCTCATGCACATACATGAAATCACACACACACACCACACACACACACACACACACACGACATTGTTTACCTTTTCTTTATTTCTAGGAATTGGGACTATTTGGACTGTCAGCCACTACTAATATTCATATCTTTCTCCTCATTAAAAGGTTATTTCCTTTTCCTTTCTTATATGATAATCCGTGAAGAACAAGCACACTGATAATTACAAAGTGCATCGATGTGATACCCAGGTTTGTGCAATGCGATACCCATGCTTTGGTCATTATGGCCATCACAGTTGCCTTTTCACAATAATAAATATGACAGCTAACAAAAATAAATCACCTTTTAAAATGTAGAACCTCTTTCTTTGACAGGTCACTACATCTATAATCATTAATCTAGCTCACTGCAGAATCTATGATCCACGCTTCAGTTTTACATGAATATGCAAGGAGCACGATAATCAGCTGCACATCAAACCTCAACAACTCAGTTTATTACTTATCATAAAATCTATTCAGTATCTTTACTTCCCAGCTGAGCAGGGAAATGCTGTCAGCTTTTTCAAACAGAGTCTAAATGCTTAGTCATAACTACTCCTCTGTCAAGTTGATACCACATGTGGATTAAAAAAAAAAAAATTTACACATTTGACCTAAGAAAAATATTTAGTTTCTGTTTCCCTATCATCTGTGCTTCATAGTAGCAAACAAGCTAATTTCAGAACTTTGCCACAGATCATTTCATCCTTCCTTTTTTTTTGTTTTTTTTTTTACCTTTTAGAGAAATGGTAAGTTCACCTAACTCAGGATGTTTAATTTGATGAATGTAAGTGCTTAACAAAACTGTAATATTTGAGAGACTCTGAATAAAAGAATGAATTGAGCTGTTGTTTTTAAATATTCAACTGTTCGATGAAGCAGAGGTCCTGCCTCTAATTTTAGGGCTATGCTATCCAGTACAGTTAATTCAAATGAAGATATGTTGTAAAGACAAAATACATACTGGATTTTGAAGACTTGGTTCGTAAGAAAAAGATGTAAAATATCTCAATTTTAATACTGATGACATGTTGATATATAGTGTTAAATATAAACATTTCATTTAGTTTTACTTTTCTAATGGGGCTGCTAGAAAGTTTAAAATGTATGCATATGACATGTCCTGCGTTTGTGGCTCACGTTATATATCTGTTGGACAACACTGTCTTAAGAGGGACGAGATAAAATATAGAGCCTGATAGTTGACTTCAACTTCTGTAGGTATTAACAGTGCTAATTACACCCAAAAACCTCTGCAAATCTTTTGCTCATGACTTAAACATAATTCTAAGTATTGATCTCTTCAAATGTGTATTGCATCTATTTTAAAAACATGCATCTGTTAAAACAACTGGACTCCACTATAGCCATAAAAATCTGTTAGCCGTCCAAAGTATAAATATCAAAATATGCATCCTCCAAGTTTGCTTCTGATATGATGTAAGGATAATGTAGACAATTTCAAGCTTAAAACCAAGTATGTTTCTTATTTCTGGACGAGAGAGTTAACATTACAAGGCCTTAGAAGAAATACACATTGCAATTCAAGTCTGTATTCTTAAACTTTGTCCTGCTATCGTGAAGATGCATGTGTCCATGTTGTCTTTCGTCATTGCCTGAAAGCATCCCTCGCTCCATTGGTTCTTAATTGTCTTAGAAATCACCTCTAGCAAATTTTTCACATTTCTGTATCACACTTTGGACTGCTTCATGGGATCCTGGTCATCGGTGCCTTTTGGTCCTTTCCTTTTTTGAGCAAAGTAAGGAAGAATGAGTCAGTAGGAGAAAGGAGAAGATAAAGGAGTGAATAATTCAGGATCACTTCTGTCATTTGTAGTGGCTAAGGGCTAGAAAGATACCCTTCAGTGAAGAAACTCCCAACTGTTTGTGTCACACCGGGATGACCTCAGGGGGGCCTCCCTCTGCAGATGGCAGTGAATTTGTACCTGTTTGTGATACAGGCACCACCACAGCATCTTTGATGTCCGTGTTTATGTTACATGAGAAATTCTTCTCCTGCTTTTTGGCAGTGTCTGGGCAATTTTGCACAAAGATCACACGGTTGTAGGCCTTCAGCCTGCGCCATAACTGAACGTAGACTTTACACTGTACGTACATGAAGACAAGACCTCCCGTGAAGCCAATGGCCACCACAACCAGTTTTGTCCAAAATGGCCATTCAAGAACACCTTTGAAATAAAAAAGAGAATGTTACCACCAAGTTGTTACCAATGGACTTGGTAATTTTTTTTTTTCTATGACTCCTTCAAAAGACCATGCCTGCCTACTAAATTTTGTGGATAAGAAATATATTGTTAACAGGCAGTAAAATTCTAACCAGAATTGCTTAATTGCTTTCAACTCTTTTAAAGGTACTGTTGAAAGTCTACAGGAAGGAGCTCACCTACCACTATAATGGTCTTATTTCTCCTTATAGCATCAAGTATGTGACATTAGACTTTAGATACTTACTTTGACATTTATTCCTTATAGTGAACATACTAAGTGAAAGAGTCCGTTTAAAATTCTGTTAAAGGATTTTACCTTACCTAGAACCTTAAAGGTCCACCTTAAAATCTTTTAAAGGTAAAGTAATAGGTACTTTTATAGGATCACCCTCATTCCCTTTAAAATTAAATAAAAAATGTGAAAGAAAGAAGCTGTCACATCTCACCAGAAACAATTCCTGAGTAAAGGCATGCATCAAATTTAGTGTTTTAGTCATTTTTGTTTCATAAGTCTTTTTGTCGCTGGGAACCACTTTCTTACATATCAATATTTTCTCTTAATTTCCACCATCATAACTACAAATAGTCTTTCACAATTTTTAAAACTATTTCACAAGAGTTTCTGTAGCTACAGCAATATTATGAATGTTAAATACACGACAGTCAGGAATCCATCTCTTGCCAATGTCAGTATGTGTGGAGGGTATAATAGCCATCTACGTTCATGTGAAAGGCTTTAGTATGTTGGGCCAGGAAGAGTTGGTTAGAAATCCTAGTTTATGAGAGTTTCTGATTCTATTTTGGGTTTTTATTTACTTATACCAATGGATAGAGTTATAAGAAGTCCTACCTATATTTTGTAACAGTGACATATGCTTCATGCTTCTGTAAGAAAACAGACACAAGGGCTTGTTCAGCTCTTACCTTAGTTCTACCTATGCAAGGAGAACAATCATCTGACACACAGACCGAGGGTAGACCAGTGGTTCTCAACAGGGGCAAGTTTTGTTTCCCAGGGGACATTGGGAATGTCTGCAGATACTGTTTATTGTTACGCCTGGTGTTGAGGTGGGGTGCTACTGACTTTTAGTAAATAGAGGCCACAGATGCTGCATAAACATCCTATAGTGTGTAGGATAGCACCCCCCCCCCCCAACGAAGAATTATCTAGCCCAAAATGTCAGTAGTGCTGAGGTTGAGAATTCGTGTAGAAGATAATCATTTAAGCTTCTTAATTGCAGGGAGGATTCAGTATGTAGATCAGACATCTTGAAGTTCTCCAAATTTAGAAAGATTTTTGCTCTTGGCTACTATATTGATCCATAGTTTCTATGTGTTTGGAATGTTTTAACCACAGACAAGCTGGAGAAGACGTGCTTTATCTCCCATTTGGGGGAAGTCCCCATGGGTTACATCCAACTTTCCCCTCTGCTAAATCAAACTACCAGCTGTTCTAAGAGTCTGGAGGTTTTCCATTTCTGAGGCTTTGTCCATGATGTTTCTTCCCTCGGTTTTCCTTCTGTACTTCTGCATGTCTACTGTTCCACAAAAGCCAACTAAGAAGTAATTTCCAGCTGGAAATAAACCCGCATTCTTCCAGTTTCATGTTATTTCTTCCACTTGTGGCATGTGTTAACTTTCTAACAAGTTATTTTTACTTTGGTACACCATAATCCTGACAAGCACAGAATTTATGTCTGGTTGGTCTTAATTTTCCACAGCGCCTTGCTCAGTAGATATTTCAAGGATGAATGAAAGCTTTTGAAGTTCCAACTTGGATTGCTTTGCCTCAGTGTTTTTAATATAACCAGAGGTGACAGCCTTTCTTCACTTGTCCATGAAGCCCTGCCTTCATTGGTGGATAATCTGAAGAATCCACTCTTGTCCTACCTCTCCTTCCTGAAATAATGGCTGGAACGCATAATATACTTGAGAATCTGGGCCATTTTCTCTAATTCTGGGAGACAGTCTGGTTCTTCCACTTTCTTTCACAATGTTCTCTGAATTGATTTTGTCTCCTCCAGTCATTTCCTTCGTATGTTTGGGAAGTCAGGGCTCCCAGTACATCCACCAACAGTTTAGAGTGTGCAATATCCCCCTACCCTACATCCAGAAGTCATTTGGGTACAAACCCACAGTCCACGTGACATCTTCTCTCAGAGACAGCCTGATCTTTCTCTTTGGTTTTGACTAAGTGGGCAAGATTTTTGTTTTCTATAAAGATATTATTGAGCAGTTATAAGATTTTACCTTGGAAAATTCACCTAAAGGACATTGTGAGAGGAGATAATAACATGGGGCTAAGTGAATTTCCAAGAATGTTTCCATTGGCAAGATATATTTACCTCCTTTTATCGAGACTTAGTAATTTGTCTTCATGCTCAACCTTGTTGGACTCCTCAGTTCTATGGTGTCTTCTGTAAAGAAGAAAGAATGTACACAATAAGGGTGGTAGAAAAGTGAAGGCACAAAGTCTTGTTCCTTGTGGATCCTTTGTGTAAACAAGTAATTCTTGGTCCTCACTAATATATATTTGAAGCTGGAACCTGAACTTGGAAATGCCAAGAGCTCAAAGTTGTTTCTACCTGCCAGTTTGGAAGAGGAATTTGAAATTCAACTTGAGGCAATTCAACCATCTGTTCATTTCTCTGAAGCCCAAGGATCTATCTGTAGTTTTGCCTTTGTGCTTGGGATCTTTCTTCAGAAATTTCTGTAGGCTTAGGAATAAACTCTCTGTATCCCTACCTTTTTAATGTTACCTTTTAAACATTAACAGGAAACTTGCTTGGAAATTCTTGGGTAAGAATTGGAGGAGCTTGGAAGAGCAGATGTTCTGTCCACAACCATTTTTTAAGGAAATGGAAGTCTTCTCTTGTCCCCTATAATAGGTAAACCTGACTCATTCACTGTCCATATTGTCATGCCAATCCTCCACGAATGGCCAGTACATTCTCAAGCAATCTCAACATATGATTATTAAATTCTTCCAGGCCTCCTCTTTTTTTTT